TTTTCAGAAATTAGAGATTACTCTTCGACCATTAGTTTGAACCAAAAATCCAAATTTGAAGAAAATTGCCGATCTGAAGGTATACTGTAACCTTAAGCCAACGAGAACTCTTGAATGGCATTATTCAATGATCGCTTGTGCTTCCCAAACGTGGTATCTGAAAGGTGTGCAAGGGGAATCCCAGGTTAAGGGTGGGGTGCTCTTTGCAAGATTTAAATTAACCCTCTAAAGGAGACCAATCGTGAATCTTCAGGCTGAAGATTGCCGAGGACTTTTGTAAACCAAATTAACAAATAAGAGATTTAGTGACTTCATGATGATAAAGATGCTATAAAGAACTTCAGCACAAATGGTGCAACAAGGCTATGCTAGACCCGGAGGGTGGATGAGGGGGGCTACTCTACAAAGTTCTATACGGGCAGGCTCTGCCCTGAGGTCTAACCCCTTACCCTTTTGTATAACATTTTAACACGAAAGGTACCCGTTTCGTATACCTTTAATTGAAAAAAGGTGCCCCTTTCACATATTATGAACGAGTCACCAATAAAGGAAGTCTTGTCATTTTCATGTAGCGCCTAACAATTAATGGAATGATACAGCCATAAGGTGAATCTGTTCAAAACATTTTAATTTAAGGTCCTTAAAATAACTAAATGACAGATTAACTTACCCTTTCATATACCTCAACTTGTGAATTCCCTACCCTTTTATATACCTGAAGCCTGAAAAAGCTAACCCTTTTAGGCAGAGCCTCCCCATACAGGCCACTATAGGGAGTACCCTCTGGGACAGTAGATTGATGCCACATCCACCTAGTTCTTGTATTACCAACAAGTGACCAGTTGAAGCAAAAAGGTCTGTTTAATCACAACAAAAACCCTTTCCACTGCACTTTTTATTTTTCATTCTTACAATTACTTAATTACATAGCACTTTATCATGTTTTTCATCAAACCACATAAAACTATAAATAAATAACATGAATAAAACAACCAAACTGTGGACAGCACAAGTTAATGACAAGGACAACTCAAAATCACTAATGCAGACCCGTAAAATAGGTTGTTAACTATAGTCACTGGACAATACAAAATGGATGTGTTTCATATTCACTTCTGCAAATATTTGCAAAGGTGGATCACACCTTTCATTTTAACCTTTGCAGAGAAGAATTTTTTTTTCCTTAACTTAACCTAGCACAAAAAATGGAAAGACAGCTCTACAGAAGGTGGCAATTTTATGTAAAATTACTTGCTTCTTGACATAATTGTTTGGAGAAACCAGCAGTTTGAAACTTAAAGATATTGGTGTTGAATAGCCTTTGTAGATTTACCTAACATACAGTACCTTTAATTGAATATTAAAAACGTAAGTGATAAAATAGAACAAAGCATGGGAAGACTACAATGGCCAAACAAAAACAAGATTAACAATGTTAGACATGGATCGCGACCAATAATTATAAGTTTCAGGGAAGATATGCAAATAACTTATGATTCTATGACATAATGTACCTACACTCATTGCTGTAGTATTACAATTGCCTTTATGCAGATACATACAGGGTTATCCACCACTCACTTAATCACTGGATCTGTTACATTGCTAAATACAATCTGTAGCTGATCACTAACTTTATTACACCACTAATGAAACAAAGCTGTTATACTGCTGTATGTTCCTTTTGAGGATGTCGATACATGGACCCAGCACTCGTTCAAACCGCTGCCTGTCGAGTTTGACACATTTTAGTGTTCCCTTTGCCCGGACTGTTGCAGCTCGAGGTCGATTAAGGACCAAAGCAATTTCACCTGAAAGCACAAATTTGATACTCCTCAGTCTGCATTTTGTGACATCTAAACTTTTCTTTCCCTATGGCAAACTCAACTCGTGCATCCAATAGCAGTTGTTGATACAAATTGCCAATCTACATTATTTTACACTGCAGTGTTAAAGTCCAACACAGCTTCAAATATCCTCACTCACCGAAGTAGTCAGACTGTCCTAATCGGCTGACCTCAATATAATCTTCATTTGGTGATCTACGCTGCAACACCACAGCTACCCCCTATAAAACATTACTGGTTAAATCTTGAAATCGATGAGGGATTATCATGTTATTTCTCATTAACTGTACTGAGCTGTAGAAGATGTGTGCCTGGAATATCCAGGGGCCTCCACTGTGACCAGCCAGACCCTAGGCAGTATAACGTTCCCATGGCTGGGAATCCCTGCAACCCAGGAGCCCCCACCCAGTCTTCCAGGCACCCGTCATACGGAGTTAACAGTAGAGACAGGGATGGGAGGGGGGCAGAAAGACATCGACAAACAGACCAAAGATGTGCAGGAAACTGCTCAATCCTATGACCAAAATGTTCCAGGGACCATCATGCTGGAACACACTACACGCTAGTACAAAGCTGGAACACACTAGTACAATGGCGAAGTGCACTGAACCTGCAATACCATACGAATACCGCTGGCTGGAAGTAACAGCAACTAGTAATGTAGCTTTGTTGTAAACTTTGTTGAATTGCATTTAACAGCATTATAAAGTCAATACAACACCAAGCAAACAAGACAAAAATAAAGAAAACTGACCATCGAAACTTCAGTACTAACCAAAATGGCAAAACGTTACCACTGGGAATGAGCTTAATAATGAACAAGATCAGAACTTGGGTTGACAGCAGCACATCATTGAAATATTAAGTAAGAGTTTTTCAGGAAATACTTACATCAACAATGATGTAAAATTCATCACCATGCTCTCCCTGAACTACAACATTTTCATTATCCTCATAAGAAACAGCTTCCAGTGCGTCAGCCACGGTAAGGCGTTCCCATTTATCCAATGACTCGAGAATACTGACTTTCTCAAGGAACTGTTCATACATTTTCCTCTTGCGAATCTGACTTCCCATCAATATCCGTCGGTAAGTCACTCGATCAATGGCCCAAAGCTTCACATCTGTTTTTGACTGAGACACAAAGCAGACAGACAAGTTGATTAACACACAGATCATGGCAAAATAACCAGTCTTGCATTAAATTGTTCTTCATTGCCAGTGTTTTGTAGAGTTTGAGATTGATCAAAGTCAAAATTGAAGAATTCAAAAAAAAAGTGGGATCCCGATTTTTCGAACATCCAAGGGAAAGGAAAATTAGTTTGAAAAATCCAGTAGTTCAAGAGATTGGGTAAAAATACAGAGTTCTACTGAGGGGAAGGAAATTACTTTTGGCTTGAGTTATCACAGGGGTTCAAAAAATCAAGGGTTAGAGAAGTCAGGATTCCACTGAGTGGATAACCAGAAATCCTCACTGAAAGGTGCCAAATCTAAAGCAAGTGGCACTCAACTTTTTCCCCCTTCTTTAGGGCATGAGTTATTCTAGTTATTAGCATACAAAAGTTGAGATCCTACTTAACATAGTATAATGCAAAGCAGTCACTTAGGTTTTGTAGTGCTTCTATTGCAATGTCTACTTCTACTACTGTTCAGTCAAGCATAATTGCAAGCAGTTGATGACTTTCTCTTAATCAACAAGCTGCTCCATGATTACCAATACAGTTGTAACAATGATTACTAGTATAGAAACAGTGTACCTAAGTTGCTAACCACTTAGCCCCATGAAAACTTGGTTACAATGGCTGCACATTATACAATGAAATATTTCTAAATAGATCATGAACACTAGTCCAATAACTCCAAAGATGATCAGAAATGGTCGCCAGACATCAGTTTTTAAACTTAAACTTCAGACTGTTCCCTGATAAAAATATAATTTCCGTGACCAAAATAATAAAAGCAAAAATGTCAGATATAGTAGCAGCATTCAGCCTCCTTTAAAGCCACCCTTTTTACCTTTACAATGACAGTTCACCTTCTTCATTTAAGGAAAAACATTGTGGAGATGACAATGAACTAAAATGTTTCTTTCAGCCTTGAATGGTTTTAAATCAGCAGTGTTATTATTTCAATTGTAACTGACTTTTCTTTAAATTTCAATTTCCTAGACTCAAAATAAATATCCTTGACTTTTTCTGACCTTGAAGACTTTTCATTTTCCCTGACCATTTCCTAACCTACAAAAACCCTATCAGAGAAATGAATTCCCTTGGCACAACACTTTCCAGTTCATCATAAACACAGCATAACTCAAATCTTTCCCACCTTTATAGTTGCTGCTCTTGGTGTGCCATAAATCAGGGCCAGTTCACCAAAACTGCCTCCTTCTCCAATGGTGGAAACATATTCCTCACTGACAAACACCTGATGAGAGCAAATGAAATGTCAGACAAACATAGATTCCTTGAAGGTAGCCCTCCCTTTCAACAATACTGGATGACCAGGAATTCATAAATTTCACCCAAACAGGGATGGGAGCTAAATTTTGTAAGCACTCATCATCCAGGCTGGTGAACTTTACAACTGGACCAAAAAAATATAATTTCAACCCATACAAAAGGATTTAGACTTCCCCTGGCAAGTGCTAATTTCAACTCATCCCAAATGGATATCCACTAAAAACAAAATACACTCATGGAACAATTTAGTTTTAACAGTACAAATGCCTTCATTACACATTTGTGGCATCCAACTAGCTTAGCTTTTAAAGTCATTTTGGATGAACAGTATCACTTCGTAGTTTAGTAAAAAAAAACTATTTTTTTAAAAATTTTTTTCAATTGTTAGCTAATAATTGTAACAATTGTGAAGGTACACTGTTGCAACTTTACAATTTGCATTTGTAAAGTTGTTATTGTTTTTGTTGTTGTAGTTACCCTCGTTCCTCTATTCTACCCTTAAGTTGTTTAGATGTGGAAAACTTATTTGTATGAGCAGTCAGTGGTTGCAGTATTGAAAATTATAATTCTTTACAAAGTGCAGTTTATAATCAGGGTTGACCATGTAAGGTTCAACAGAAGGCCAAACAGTTGAGATTTATGATATCATTCTGCATACTGAAGAACTCAGGCAAGATCAAGTTTTGGGTACAGTAAATTATTTTTGGAAGAACCATTTCCATGATGCAAGATGCCCCCTTAGTTGCCAGGTTTAAATCTACGCAGGGATTTTGTAGGCTTGGAAAAATATTACTGGTCATGACAGAAACAAATGAAAGATTACTAACTCTATCAAGAGAAAATCAATATACACAAAAACTCTAAGCAGAATATAAAACCTCTAACTTTGTGAGATCCTGTGGGAAACATATTTCTGGTAGAAATATCTCGATGTAAAAAAGACATAGACTAGGAGTATTTACAAAAGCATGCTACCATCTCAGGAGAGCTTTGACATTAAACTCAACAAAATAACAGCTAACACTTTGTTGTGACTGAATGGTGGTCATTTTGGACTTTCTTAGCTAATGCAAGCTCATCAACCAAACAACGTTTAGCAAAATGTTTGGACTCCTTAGGAAAATTAGAAGTTCCAAGGAATTCCAAATTTTTAGTGCCTATCTAGCCCTCCCATTATTTCTGCTCCAGACCTTGCACAAGCGGACTATCTACCAAACAATCAAAATTTCAGCACAAAGCAGAAAAGGCAAGATTTTCCTTAGAATAACTAGAGGTAAGCTTATGATTTCCAGCGGATCTTCGCAGAAAATATCGCACTTTTAGACACAATTTGATGTGGTATGTCTTAGCGAGACTACAAGAACCACCAAGGTTCCAAACTATTTGGGAGTCTTGGAAGTGTGGTAATCCATCGAGCGAAGTGCTTTGTGCGAGTGTTCAAAATTATGTAAACAGACAACATGGATATTTACATCAACTTCGCCACTGTCAATGATGTAGAAGTTATCCCCCTCGTCACCTAAAACAGCAAAAATAAAGGTCACATCGCCTAACTTTAAATGCTACGCTGTTTTAATACTTCTCTGAGAATACGGGCTGCCGCAATAACACCGCCTGAATTATAAGGGTTGCAATAATCTTGTTAAGCTCATGGAAATGTTGAGAACAACAAACATTCCGAGCAGTCAAAAGGAGCGAAACGGCAGTGAGTCACTTACGAAAACTAAAGGTCTACATATTCGCAAAAAAATCGGTTCTAAAGATACTACAGGCTTAAAACGCTTTGATTTACGTCGTACCTTGCTGGATGACAGTCTCACCGGCACCGTGTTTGACCAAAGACATGGCGTCAAAAATATCACTATGGGAAAAAAACGACATTCATGTAAGTACTTAACATAAAATGTGTTACTAGTTCAATACCAATTCTTGAGGTTAAATGCTTTTATCCCACTGACCTTCTTTCTCCTTCGTCCAGGTGAGAAAACAGGATGTTCTTTGCGATTGCCTTCGATAGGGCGGCCATAGTTTTGTAGTCTTTTGGTACGACCTGTAAAACCAAGCGAGAGTTTTTGCCGTTGTCACCATTGCCACTGCTTTTTCTTTGCAATTATCTTAACCATCGCCGAAAATTACCTTTTTCACATAAGAAGTAGCTTCGTCTTCTGTAATTGGTCCAGCGCTAACAGCACCGCGACGTTGTCGAGAAAAGCCACGGACGGGCCCGGGGTGATCCTCAATTTCAAGTTTCTGTTCAGGTTCGCTATGTTCCTGTGGCTCTGCCTCATGCTCCTGGTAAATAAATTTAAGACAAATTGCTCATCTAGAAAATGAAATGATTTGTCTGACCGGTTTACATGCAGAATAATGAAGTGAAAACACAACCAAAAACAACACGATAGTGTAACAAAGCTTCGATATGGAGCTTAAAAGAAAAACACCTTTTCTAGCTTTTCGAAATATTCCCGAAAGAATTTGTGCGGGTTGTCTGGCTTCTTGATACATAGCTGCACGATACAGTCCTTTAGTATAGCTTGAATGTTATGCTTTTCTACATAAATTTCACATTGCCTGAGCGCTTCGGCATCACCATCTTGCTTTTTGGACGCCATTTTGCTCGCAAATGTCGCTCGGATCGCAGAGAAGAACTGACGTGACGTCACACTAACTTATCCAGTTCTACAGGGCTGTGACGTCAATGTGACGTCAGAAGATAGATGCGTGGGTACTTACAGTCAAATAATATACCAAACTGCTGAATTTTTACCGCAAAGCGGATTGTGTTCCCAACGTTCTTTACGATATAATCCAGTCTACGTTTGCGTGAAAAGCAAAGGCTGAATTTTTCCAAATTAATCCAGAAACAATGAACGTTGAAAATTACAGCAAGAATGATAAAATAATAAAAATAATCGATTTTCTTCATGGTTAAAAAAGGACTGAAATATGAACCGTCTTCAAATTCAGAATAATAATAGTACCATCCGTCGCCCCCGCAATCTTGCAACAATTCAAATATAATTTATAGCAATAGCTTGCACCTATTTACGTCGAACTGTGACGTCTGTTTGCGCAGTTGAACTTTCTTCGACTATGCGGTTTGAATTGGAGTTAACATTAGTCACGTCTGCACTATATTTAATTTCTTGCCCTTGTTTTCGTCGACGTTTATATATTGGCTTTTTGTTGTGAGGCATTAAAATGATCTCTTCCTTGAGGAGGTACTTCCTCAGCTTATCGTCCTCTAGAACATGAATAAAGCGTTTCACAGATGTCGCATCTTTAGTTCCGTTTCATCCTCAACATTATTCCGACTTTTTAAGTTTTCATTCCAGTTTACTGTTGTGCAACACATCTGCTTTTTCAGTTCCACGTCTTCCATTAATAGTTGATCACTGAATATAAATACCCCTTTGTAACAGATCCGGTGAATATTCGTGTTCTCAAAGAATTCGATGCCTAAAACTGCATCGAGGCATACGATATGAAACCCGAGAAGTTTCACGAGAAAAGGGTTAAAACAAGACAAAAACTCTCGTCCTCAGTGGTACTCGTTTTAAAATGTCGTTTCTTCCGCCACGTGACCAAAAGAAACGGAGGTTCTGATGCGCATGCGTCCAACTATATGAACAAAAGTTGATCAGACAATTCTCGTCCCCAGATGCCACGCTCGTTTTGGTCAGAACAAAGAAACGCGACTTCTGGCCCCACGACCAGCCGGACCCGTTTTTGTATCTTCAGCTAATCAGGTTTATCAGGTTTGACGGGATGTCCGAGAATCGTGCAGGTCAAACGTTGCGCGCGCGCGAGAAAGAGGAGGGCCAAGACTGAACTAGTCAAAATCAAAAAGCCTTGCTGGACTCTGCATCAATTTAGTAAGTGATGATAGACCTGTTTTTTTTGTTTTTTTCCTTTCGTTCAGTTAAGAGAAATTCCTTCATCAGATTTGCTCCTCCCTGGTTGAAAATATGATCTTCCTGGAGTGGGGAATGATGCCCACGAGAAAAGAGATAAATTTCCGACGGTCATCTTGGCAAATTTTGAGAATGAAGTGTTGGTTGTCCGTTTNAAGGCGTTCCCATTTATCCAATGACTCGAGAATACTGACTTTCTCAAGGAACTGTTCATACATTTTCCTCTTGCGAATCTGACTTCCCATCAATATCCGTCGGTAAGTCACTCGATCAATGGCCCAAAGCTTCACATCTGTTTTTGACTGAGACACAAAGCAGACAGACAAGTTGATTAACACACATATCATGGCAAAATAACCAGTCTTGCATTAAATTGTTCTTCATTGCCGGCGTTTTGTAGAGTTTGAGATTGATCAAAGTCAAAATCGAAGAATTAAAAAAAAAAGTGGGATCCCGATTTTTCGAACATCCAAGGGAAAGGAAAATTAGTTTGAAAAATCCAGTAGTTCAAGAGATTGGGTAAAAATACCGAGTTCTACTGAGGGGAAGGAAATTACTTTTGGCTTGAGTTATCACAGGGGTTCAAAAAATCAAGGGTTAGAGAAGTCAGGATTCCACTGAGTGGATAACCAGAAATCCTCACTGAAAGGTGCCAAATCTAAAGCAAGTGGCACTCAACTTTTTCCCCCTTCTTTAGGGCATGAGTTATTCTAGTTATTAGCATACAAAAGTTGAGATCCTACTTAACATAGTATAATGCAAAGTAGTCACTTAGGTTTTGTAGTGCTTCTATTGCAATGTCTACTTCTACTACTGTTCAGTCAAGCATAATTGCAAGCAGTTGATGACTTTCTCTTAATCAACAAGCTGCTCCATGATTACCAATACAGTTGTAACAATGATTACTAGTATAGAAACAGTGTACCTAAGTTGCTAACCACTTAGCCCCATGAAAACTTGGTTACACTGGCTGCACATTATACAATGAAATATTTCTAAATAGATCATGAACACTAGTCCAAGAACTCCAAAGATGATCAGAAATGGTCGCCAGACATCAGTTTTTAAACTTAAACTTCAGACTGTTCCCTGATAAAAATATAATTTCCGTGACCAAAATAATAAAAGCAAAAATGTCAGATATAGTAGCAGCATTCAGCCTCCGTTAAAGCCACCCTTTTTACCTTTACAATGACAGTTCACCTTCTTCATTTAAGGAAAAACATTGTGGAGATGACAATGAACTAAAATGTTTCTTTCAGCCTTGAATGGTTTTAAATCAGCAGTGTTATTATTTCAATTGTAACTGACTTTTCTTTAAATTTCAATTTCCCAGACTCAAAATAAATATCCTTGACTTTTTCTGACCTTGAAGACTTTTCATTTTCCCTGACCATTTCCTAACCTACAAAAACCCTATCAGAGAAATGAATTCCCTTGGCACAACACTTTCCAGTTCATCATAAACACAGCATAAATCAAATCTTTCCCACCTTTATAGTTGCTGCTCTTGGTGTGCCATAAATCAGGGCCAGTTCACCAAAACTGCCTCCTTCTCCAATGGTGGAAACATATTCCTCACTGACAAACACCTGATGAGAGCAAATGAAATGTCAGACAAACATAGATTCCTTGAAGGTAGCCCTCCCTTTCAACAATACTGGATGACCAGGAATTCATAAATTTCACCCAAACAGGGATGGGAGCTAAATTTTGTAAGCACTCATCATCCAGGCTGGTGAACTTTACAACTGGACCAAAAAAATATAATTTCAACCCATACAAAAGGATTTAGACTTCCCCTGGCAAGTGCTAATTTCAACTCATCCCAAATGGATATCCACTAAAAACAAAATACACTCATGGAACAATTTAGTTTTAACAGTACAAATGCCTTCATTACACATTTGTGGCATCCAACTAGCTTAGCTTTTAAAGTCATTTTGGATGAACAGTATCACTTCGTAGTTTAGTAAAAAAAAACTATTTTTTTAAAAATTTTTTTCAATTGTTAGCTAACAATTGTAACAATTGTGAAGGTACACTGTTGCAACTTTACAATTTGCATTTGTAAAGTTGTTATTGTTTTTGTTGTTGTAGTTACCCTCGTTCCTCTATTCTACCCTTAAGTTGTTTAGATGTGGAAAACTTATTTGTATGAGCAGTCAGTGGTTGCAGTATTGAAAATTATAATTCTTTACAAAGTGCAGTTTATAATCAGGGTTGACCATGTAAGGTTCAACAGAAGGCCAAACAGTTGAGATTTATGATATCATTCTGCATACTGAAGAACTCAGGCAAGATCAAGTTTTGGGTACAGTAAATTATTTTTGGAAGAACCATTTCCATGATGCAAGATGCCCCCTTAGTTGCCAGGTTTAAATCTACGCAGGGATTTTGTAGGCTTGGAAAAATATTACTGGTCATGACAGAAACAAATGAAAGATTACTAACTCTATCAAGAGAAAATCAATATACACAAAAACTCTAAGCAGAATATAAAACCTCTAACTTTGTGAGATCCTGTGGGAAACATATTTCTGGTAGAAATATCTCGATGTAAAAAAGACATAGACTAGGAGTATTTACAAAAGCATGCTACCATCTCAGGAGAGCTTTGACATTAAACTCAACAAAATAACAGCTAACACTTTGTTGTGACTGAATGGTGGTCATTTTGGACTTTCTTAGCTAATGCAAGCTCATCAACCAAACAACGTTTAGCAAAATGTTTGGACTCCTTAGGAAAATTAGAAGTTCCAAGGAATTCCAAATTTTTAGTGCCTATCTAGCCCTCCCATTATTTCTGCTCCAGACCTTGCACAAGCGGACTATCTACCAAACAATCAAAATTTCAGCACAAAGCAGAAAAGGCAAGATTTTCCTTAGAATAACTAGAGGTAAGCTTATGATTTCCAGCGGATCTTCGCAGAAAATATCGCACTTTTAGACACAATTTGATGTGGTATGTCTTAGCGAAACTACAAGAACCACCAAGGTTCCAAACTATTTGGGAGTCTTGGAAGTGTGGTAATCCATCGAGCGAAGTGCTTTGTGCGAGTGTTCAAAATTATGTAAACAGACAACATGGATATTTACATCAACTTCGCCACTGTCGATGATGTAGAAGTTATCCCCCTCGTCACCTAAAACAGCAAAAATAAAGGTCACATCGCCTAACTTTAAATGCTACGCTGTTTTAATACTTCTCTGAGAATACGGGCTGCCGCAATAACACCGCCTGAATTATAAGGGTTGCAATAATCTTGTTAAGCTCATGGAAATGTTGAGAACAACAAACATTCCGAGCAGTCAAAAGGAGCGAAACGGCAGTGAGTCACTTACGAAAACTAAAGGTCTACATATTCGCAAAAAAATCGGTTCTAAAGATACTACAGGCTTAAAACGCTTTGATTTACGTCGTACCTTGCTGGATGACAGTCTCACCGGCACCGTGTTTGACCAAAGACATGGCGTCAAAAATATCACTATAGGAAAAAAACGACATTCATGTAAGTACTTAACATAAAATGTGTTACTAGTTCAATACCAATTCTTGAGGTTAAATGCTTTTATCCCACTGACCTTCTTTCTCCTTCGTCCAGGTGAGAAAACAGGATGTTCTTTGCGATTGCCTTCGATAGGGCGGCCATAGTTTTGTAGTCTTTTGGTACGACCTGTAAAACCAAGCGAGAGTTTTTGCCGTTGTCACCATTGCCACTGCTTTTTCTTTGCAATTATCTTAACCATCGCCGAAAATTACCTTTTTCACATAAGAAGTAGCTTCGTCTTCTGTAATTGGTCCAGCGCTAACAGCACCGCGACGTTGTCGAGAAAAGCCACGGACGGGCCCGGGGTGATCCTCAATTTCAAGTTTCTGTTCAGGTTCGCTATGTTCCTGTGGCTCTGCCTCATGCTCCTGGTAAATAAATTTAAGACAAATTGCTCATCTAGAAAATGAAATGATTTGTCTGACCGGTTTACATGCAGAATAATGAAGTGAAAACACAACCAAAAACAACACGATAGTGTAACAAAGCTTCGATATGGAGCTTAAAAGAAAAACACCTTTTCTAGCTTTTCGAAATATTCCCGAAAGAATTTGTGCGGGTTGTCTGGCTTCTTGATACATAGCTGCACGATACAGTCCTTTAGTATAGCTTGAATGTTATGCTTTTCTACATAAATTTCACATTGCCTGAGCGCTTCGGCATCACCATCTTGCTTTTTGGACGCCATTTTGCTCGCAAATGTCGCTCGGATCGCAGAGAAGAACTGACGTGACGTCACACTAACTTATCCAATTCTACAGGGCTGTGACGTCAATGTGACGTCAGAAGATAGATGCGTGGGTACTTACAGTCAAATAATATACCAAACTGCTGAATTTTTACCGCAAAGCGGATTGTGTTCCCAACGTTCTTTACGATATAATCCAGTCTACGTTTGCGTGAAAAGCAAAGGCTGAATTTTTCCAAATTAATCCAGAAACAATGAACGTTGAAAATTACAGCAAGAATGATAAAATAATAAAAATAATCGATTTTCTTCATGGTTAAAAAAGGACTGAAATATGAACCGTCTTCAAATTCAGAATAATAATAGTACCATCCGTCGCCCCCGCAATCTTGCAACAATTCAAATATAATTTATAGCAATAGCTTGCACCTATTTACGTCGAACTGTGACGTCTGTTTGCGCAGTTGAACTTTCTTCGACTATGCGGTTTGAATTGGAGTTAACATTAGTCACGTCTGCACTATATTTAATTTCTTGCCCTTGTTTTCGTCGACGTTTATATATTGGCTTTTTGTTGTGAGGCATTAAAATGATCTCTTCCTTGAGGAGGTACTTCCTCAGCTTATCGTCCTCTAGAACATGAATAAAGCGTTTCACAGATGTCGCATCTTTAGTTCCGTTTCATCCTCAACATTATTCCGACTTTTTAAGTTTTCATTCCAGTTTACTGTTGTGCAACACATCTGCTTTTTCAGTTCCACGTCTTCCATTAATAGTTGATCACTGAATATAAATACCCCTTTGTAACAGATCCGGTGAATATTCGTGTTCTCAAAGAATTCGATGCCTAAAACTGCATCGAGGCATACGATATGAAACCCGAGAAGTTTCACGAGAAAAGGGTTAAAACAAGACAAAAACTCTCGTCCTCAGTGGTACTCGTTTTAAAATGTCGTTTCTTCCGCCACGTGACCAAAAGAAACGGAGGTTCTGATGCGCATGCGTCCAACTATATGAACAAAAGTTGATCAGACAATTCTCGTCCCCAGATGCCACGCTCGTTTTGGTCAGAACAAAGAAACGCGACTTCTGGCCCCACGACCAGCCGGACCCGTTTTTGTATCTTCAGCTAATCAGGTTTATCAGGTTTGACGGGATGTCCGAGAATCGTGCAGGTCAAACGTTGCGCGCGCGCGAGAAAGAGGAGGGCCAAGACTGAACTAGTCAAAATCAAAAAGCCTTGCTGGACTCTGCATCAATTTAGTAAGTGATGATAGACCTGTTTTTTTTGTTTTTTTCCTTTCGTTCAGTTAAGAGAAATTCCTTCATCAGATTTGCTCCTCCCTGGTTGAAAATATGATCTTCCTGGAGTGGGGAATGATGCCCACGAGAAAAGAGATAAATTTCCGACGGTCATCTTGGCAAATTTTGAGAATGAAGTGTTGGTTGTCCGTTTTTCGTCGGGGTTGTACAATGAAAATATTCATCAAGTCACTGGATTTTTCTCTGTGCTGGAACCCGTTTCTCGAAAGCCTCGGAAACGTTTTGGGCCCGCAAAGCTGTTCTTAGTTAGTCTGTATCTACAAACAGAGAGCTGCATACGCCTGAAACTTCTTGTATGGGAGTAACCTTCGTTAAATACAACAGCTCTGTGATCATAAGGTCTGAGATTTTTCTACGGCTTTCTGGGTGAAAACACATCTCGGGACCTTCGAGAAACTGGCCCCTGGTAAAATTTAACCAGTTCCGACATCCTGCTAAAGGTTTTTTTTTTAAGTAATAGTCAAATTCGCTAAGCAAGTTGTAAGAATGCATTAAAACCAACAAAGAAAATATAAATATTGATCAAAAAAAGACTGCATATTTTCTTGGTGTTAGCCGTTCCTTGGAGCCATGAAACTGACTGAATAAGCCAAGTCCTGGCTCTGTCACAATGACAAATGGATTTTACATATTCTACTTATAATAACGATTCAGCTTGCCCCCCTCAGCTTTTTTGACGCAGTAGAGTCTTCTATAGGGAAGTGAAACAACTGCCTCCAAGCTACTAAATCTTGATCGCGCCGGGAACAATTATTTTAGCAAAGATACGGTAATCAAATTTCCTAACTGACCCAACTAGTGCCGCCAGATGTAAGAGATACGGCGACCAGTTTTTAAGTTAAATGTAACTAGAACGTTTCATTTTAATTATCTCCAAATTAATGGCAAGGTGTTCATCTTATTGAAGTATCAGGTCAACTGGGTAGAAAGAACAGAAAACATGATACATTTACATTATGCATTGCATTCGGGGCATTATAAACACGCGTCCTCTCTGTCTGATTTGACTCTACCCCGGTCTATCTGGATTGAACGATATTTGAAATTTGATCGCGAAGTTCGCGTGATTTTATTTTGCGAACAACATATAGTGGAGTAGCGGGCCAGCAAATGTCAAGATGCTTCACGTCTAAAAGAGGCAGATAGCACGGTAATGTAAAAGTAAAATTAAATATTTAGATAAATACTAAATAGTGGGAAACACGATTCATACCTCATTATTTCTCTGTCTAACCCTATCACCGTGAACGTCTTTAGACATAACTGATTAAACCATAGATTTCGCCGCCGTCTCATTTATACAGCTAGTAACTTGACATAGATCTCTCAACACTCAAGTAATTTATACACATGTACAGGCCTTTTGTTAGGTCACAATTAAGACGTGTTAGTTCCAGTATAATTGTGATAGCTATCAATTTATTCCAGAATTTCGAATAAATAAATAAATAAATAAATAAATAAATAAATAAATAAATAAATAAATAAATAAGTATATTTTCTTTCAAATCGGTCCACAGTCTAACGTCCTAAACCTCTTATTGTAAGGAATGTTCCCCACAAAGAAACTCTTTGATGAACGACAAAGTCTTCTTTTTTTCAGCTTGAATTCCAAGCGCCAGTCACCCGAATTGATAGACAGCGCAAGCCTTTATTCCAAATCTAACGAAGTTATACATTATTATTCAAATATCAGCAAAACTTCTATCACATCTGGGATCAGTTAAAGAAACAGAAAGGGAATAACGCTTAAATAATTCTGAATTTCTGTCAAAAAGGGGAGACAATCATTGGAATCATTTTACATGTTGCATGTTTGGGAACATTTAGGGTTCACCAAATAAATTATTCTTTTTGACACGTTTGAGTTGACTTTTTTTCTGTTTTTACTTGCATGACATGAATATTAATAAAAGCATGATTCATCTGAACGAAAGAGGTCGATGTTCTTGATAAGGATAAGGAATTGACAGTTGCAAAAATTATGCGTGTAGTCAGCTTTTATTTTATCGCTTTAATTTTAGAAACATCGGAAGAGTAAAACATATTACGTTTCGATATCGTCAAGATATCATTGTCAAGTGAAAAGTAATAAAAACGTAGCGCAGTTAATATATGCTTGTAGAGTGTGAAGTAGTTTCATGCAGAAGAATGAACGAATTACGATGAAGTGTCCAGAATAAATTAATAGTTGATTGACTTAGTGGGTCGAACAAATACTTCTGTTCGACTGGAGTCTGATTGTGTGTTGAGTTTCGGTTTTCGCACACTATGTATAACATTCCCTAGATGAGGCAGTCCAACCCTCGCTGACGCCTTCTCAGGATTGCAGTGTAGATTGTATTACGACTAAAAAGAAGTTTTGTTTTTCTCATCATGGTGTATGACTACTCTCCAGGTAATTTGTTTCATTAATCCGTGGAAATAGCGAACAGTGTCTACAAAATTGCAACAAAATGAATCAGTATCCCGGGGAGTGGAGTGGGGGTGGGGGGCCTCCAATATAAAAAAAGGACGGGGTGCTCGTCGGAAGTGTACCTTAAGAGGTACCAAGATCCTACTTCATTGTGTGGCTTGCGATTTTTTTTACCCCTAAGAGGTTCCAATTCTAAAACAACAAATAAACCGACACTTTCGTCATTTTTAATAGCAATAAAGACGATTGCTTTGAGTGCCTTCTTCTTTTTAAGTTAATGAAGGCGTTGTCATAAATCATTTGATTGTCAAATATCTCGTCATATTTTTTCGGCTCCATACCCTAAAAGGTACCGCGGAAGCTCCGGCTGTGGACCTTTTGAGACTGAACACCCTAGGAGCTACCAAAACCACATTTTTAACTCTTAAAAGGTACGACCAGTACTCCCGTCCTTTTTATGTGAGACTCTCTCCCCCCCCCCCCGGGGGGTTGGGGGGGGGGGGTCATGTCCCAAGTCCTAATCGACTCAGACCCTGCCCTCAATCCTTCCCAGAGCAATCATCCCTTCAAAAATGGAACCTGCCTAGAGTGAAAATGGGCAAAAACACGATTCGCTTCCCATACTCTAATTCTCTGCAGCGGAAATAGCACACCGGAAAATCGCACTTGTTAACCGTCAGCTGGTTTTAGGCATTTAAAATTTTGATTGCAAATTGTGGTTAAAAAAAAACACTCGGGGGTGGATTTAGAAGGTGTGGACTGGTTGGCTAGCCACTCCCCTCTTGGTGAAGCAAAAATGAAAAAAAATGAAGAAGATTGTGAATATTTTGAAGGAAACAGAGGCAAAAACTCTGGGCAACCCCAAAGTACTAGCCCCCTCCTGAAAATCCTGGATCTGCCCCTGAAAAACCACTCGTTTTTTAAATTCTCTTCAGTAGAAATATGCAAATGACATCGAGAAAGATCGTGTTCAGGATCCCTTTTGGGTTGGATAGATGTAAAAAAAGTTGTTTTCCGCTGGTTTGATTAATCAACTTTTTAAAAGTGGGTTGAACAGTTGAACTTGTTTACACGTAAAACTCATCATAACAATGTTTTTGGGACTTAGTGACATCATGGGTGGTCTGGTGTGCGCATGAATTAGTGCAGAGCAGCCTCCTATCTATCCTACCTACCTGCAGTCACATCCTCCCTCCCTTCCCTCACTACATGGCAGGCCTGATCGCAGGTTAGCTTCTATCAACCTCAATCCCAGGCTCTCCCTCATCAACGACAAAGGATGATAAGGAGAAAG